AAAGCGTTCCAGAAAAGATCCGGGAAATTACAGGCCAGTCAGTCTGAGGTCAATACCAGGTAAATTGGTGGAAACTGTTATTAAGGAAAGAATTAATAAGCACATTGATGAACAAAAACTACTAAAGCAGACTCAGCATGGGTTCTGTAAGGGAAGATCTTGTCTCACTAACCTGTTAGTGAGGGGGTGAACAAACATGTGGACAAGGGGGATCCAATAGATATAGTTTACCTTGACTTCCAGAAACCTTTTGATAAAGTTCCTCATCAAAGACTCCTAAGTAAGCTCAAAAATCATGGGATAAAAGGACAAGTCCTTTTGTGGATCAAAAACTGGCTAATTAATAGAAAACAGAGAGTGAGTATAAATGGGAAATTTTGTCAGTGGAGGGTGATAAGCAGTGGGGTACCTCAGGGATCAGTACTCAGTCCAATGCTTTTTAACTTGTTCATTAATGATTTAGAGTTGGGAGTAAACAGTGAAGTGGCTAAATTTGCGGATGATACGAAGTTGTTCAGGGTGGTGAAAACCAGTGAGGATTGTGATGCACTCCAAAGGGATCTGTTGAGGATGGGCAAGTGGGCGTCAACATGGCAAATGGGGTTCAATGTGGCCAAGTGCAAGGTGATGCACATTGGAGCCAAAAATCCTAAATATAAATACATGTTGATGGGGTCTGAACTGGCAGAGACTAATCAAGAGAGAGATCATGGAGTCGTAGTAGATAACTCACTGAAAATGTCAAGAGTGTGTGTGACTGCAATAAAAAAGGCCAATGCTATGCTGGGGATTATTAGGAAGGGTATTGAAAACAGATCAGCCATCATAATGCTCCTATATAAATCAATGGTGCAAACTCATTTGGAATACTATGTTCAGTTCTGGTCACCACACCTTAAAAAGGATAGCTTTGGAAAAAGTGCAGAAAAGGGCAACTCGAATGATAAAAGGGTTGGAACACTTTCCCTATGAAGAAAGGTTAAAGCACTTGGGGCTGTTTAGCTTGGAGAAACAACAGCTGAGGGGTGACATGATCAAGGTTTATAAGATTATGCATGGGATAGAGCAGATAGAGAAAGAGGTATTTTTCTCCCTTTCTCACAATACAAGAACTTGTGGGCACTCAATGAAATTGCTGAGCAGTCGGGTTAGAACAAATGAAAGGAAGTACTTCTTCACCCAAAGAGCGATTAACACATGGAATTCACTGACACAGGAGGTGGTGGCCGCTACAAACATGGACAGCTTCAAGAGGAAATTAGATAAGCATATGGAGCAGAGGTCCATCGCTGGCTATTAGCCACAAGGTATAGATAGGGACTCCAGGGCAAGTGATGCTCTGTATTCTTGGTGCTTGGGGGGGTCAACAGTGGGAGGGCTTCTAGTGTCCTGGGCCCACTGCTGGACCTCCTGATGGCACCTGGTATTTTTGGCCACTGTGTGACAGAGCGTTGGACTGGATGGGCCAATGGCCTGATCGAACATTGGCTTCTCTTATGTTCTTATGTTCTTCTGATTGTCGATTCCTTTACTAAGGCTGAAAAGGAAATACAAGATGTACACAGCCTTCAAGCCAGAATTCCGGATCCCTGGCGTAGCCATGTGAAAATCAAGAAGGAAATATGAAACAAAAATCAAAATTTAATTTGATATAAAGTTTTGCTTGTGCATACTGTGTAATTTACAAAACAGTTCAAGATCAGTTGGGAAACTTACGCATCATAAAATTTACAAAACAGTTCAATAAAAAGATCAGTTGGGAAACTTACGCATCATAATCCTGAATAACCATTCCCACAGACCAAATTGCAGTCAGATATTCATTCACTCCATTAGGACTTATATAATGTAGTGAGTCTGGAGAACGAGGATCTCCATTAGAGCCAGTAAAGTCGATGCCAACCTGTTGAAAGATACATTCATATAGTTGTTCCTGATTAATGGTGGTAGTTCAAGGCAATAGGAAGGATTAATTAAGCTTAGAGAAGCCATGCAATTCAAAAAACAGCAACACTAACAAAAGAAGGTTTATAAAAATTTTAACTGTGTCCCTTCTTGTAGATATCACACAGCTATCACTTTAAAGTCCTTTCCTGGGCCCAGCCCACTGCATCACTGTTATTGAGAATACTCTCTTAGAAGATTTAGGTTCACCCTACTTCCAGCTGCAGGCTCCATTGTTATAGCAACTGTACCCCTGCACAACACTTACTCTTTAAAAAAGAGTAAGAGTTTTCTCAACACAAGCTTCCTATTCTCAGATTTCTGTTTGGAAGTTAGAAATGGAGCCAGCAAACATACCGTGTACTCTCTATACTTTTCTTCTAGGAGGCTTCTCAGTTAAGAAGACAGTGGTTCAAACTGTGGGTATTCCTGGTCAAGAAGTTTGCTATAGCCATATCTATACTGTTGTTACTCATAATACCCCAATTCTTCTCAAGTTGTTAGGGCTCCTCAGATGAAAAGATGAGGCCTTTGGTACTTACAGTAAAATTTAGCTGGCAACCTCCCATGATGTAGTCCAGGAAAGTACATTCTGTGATAATCTGGAGAAAAATCATTAAGTGATCACTGAAATAGTCCAATTACCTTTGGATATATGACAAGTAGCTTAAATTATCAGGAGGCTTTTCAATTCAAATATTTGTGAGAGGTAAGGTTGCCAGGCCCCTTAAAGCAGCTGGTGGAGGATGCCAGAAATGAACATGATGTGCCACATGACCCAGAAGTGATGTAGGCACACTGGAGGGGGACAACAGTCTGGTTTTGGGGCAAAACTCTATGGTAGAATTAGCTTCTACCATAGAGTTTCCCCAAAAAACCAGTGTTGCCCCCACATCCCTATGTCACTTCCGGGTCATGCAGGCATGTTGCATTAGTTTCCAGCATTCTTCTCTTTTGCGGAGGGGGGTGGAGAGGTGGGGGATGAAAGCGGGAGACACCTTCCCCGACCGGGGGTCTGGCATCCCTAGTGAGAGGGGAAAACAATGAGCAGAATTGAAAGTGAAACATTTATGTGATACAAAAATCTGGAGGATAAATCCACTGCAGCTATAACAGATGTACCTGGAGGGGCGCCTACAAACAGAACAGCCCTGTCCCCACACTCCCACAATGCGATCAGAGCTTGACTCAACAGGGCTGGAAGGGGTAGACAAGTTCATGGGAGTTGCACTCAGAATCTCACGCCCTATAATGGTCTGGCTCACCAACCTCCCAGATACTGAAGAGGAAGGGAGGCAACTGGGTCCTGCTACGATTTATGGGGATGTCTCCATATCTGGATACTGTGCCCATGGTGGACTGCACTTTGCCCATTTTTAAAATTTAGTTCTTTCCTATTAAACAACTGAAATTTATGTCAAATCACAACAGGAGCCACACAAAAAACCACCCCCAACCACAGCATTGCCATTGAACTCCATTTCTGAAATGGCTCGCTTCTTTCTAACTTCATTGAAAGTATTCGATTAGCACTGACGGAGGTTCAAAAACAGTGCAACACAGTCCGGTGCTAACCAAGAAAATTATGTTAAGAATACTGCTGTGCCATAGTTCTGATAAGAGCTGTTCTTTAAAAAGAACAGTTTCTGTCAGAGCTCTCTCAGCCCCACCTACCTCACAGGGTGTCTGGTATGGGGAGGGGAAGGGAAAGGAGTAAGCCGCTCTGAGACACCTTTGGGTAGTGAAGGGCAGGATATAAATCCAATCTCTTCGTCTTAACTTTGGCCCACCTTCAGGACAAACTGTTCTGAGCTTCTGGTTTATGGCGACACGCTGGCGGACGCATCTCCCGGACCTCCCAGGGATGTGATCAGCGCACCAGCAGATAGGAGGGGGCGCCACCCCCCCAGAGCCTTGGCAAAAGGCTCCTAGCCATGGGGCTTTTGAGGGGCGACCTCTTCACCAGCATGATGCTGAGGAATTGAGGCGCTCCTCCGCTTCGACGGTCCTGCCACTGAATGTCCGTATGAATCTAGAGCCGCTGACCGGGACCAGTGTCAGCGATCGAGCGTTTTAACCGTGTTCCGAGAGAGGTCGTATGACCAACAATGAACAGTGAGTGGGGTTAAAGCGAAGATGGGAATATAAAAAGAAAGCTCCCCCCGGGAACGGCGAGAGAAGTGAGCGGGGGAGGGCCCCCTCCCATACGCATGAACTAAAAAACGATCTATAAACGGGGGGAGCGGAAGAAAAAGTGTTGAAATCTGTTTTGAGAGACTTACCAGAGTGTTGATAGGCGCATAGGCGAAATTCAGAGACTTTAGCAAGTTTTTATAAAAGTAAACAATCCACAAAGATGGCGGGGAAGAAGACTGAGAAAGACAAACTAGCAAAAGTGAAAGCAGCGGAGAACATGAGCCCTCGACCGGAAGAAGGCACTGAGTTCTCCAAAATGTTGGCAGATTCCTTGCGTCCTCTGCTTGACCAGATGACTAAACAGCAGATGACAACTCTAAATCAGAATCTGACAATTCAGGTACTCCAACTGACTGAAACTTTAAAAATGACAGAGCAAACAGCTGAGAAGGTGAAGGAAATAGACACCAACACTAAAAAAGTTAAGAAAAAGGTGCAAAAGCTGGAAAAGAAGCAAGCTTCGGAAGAATCCCAGCTTTTACAGCTGCAAATGGAGAAAGCAAATATGGTCCTCCGGTTCCAAGGGGTCCCAGAATTAAAAGACGAGAATCTAAAGCAACTCTTGAGTGAAACATTAGCCCCATTTATGGATTTGAAAGCGAAATATTTTGTAAACGAAATGGATGTGGTCTACAAAGCCTATTCCGTGTAC